AAAAAAAAAAAAAAAAAAAAAAAAAAAAAAAGGTAGGCAAAGGTTAGGGGTCCAATGAGACATAAGGTACTAAAACACATCAAATAACAAATCCACCAATAGACAGTTTGAAAAGATGGGTTCAAATCCAACGCCAAATCCATTGTCCCTTTCCTTATTTGGGACTTTTCTTTTAATTATTTATTTAAATCCAACAATAATTATAAAAAAAAAACAAAAAAAAAACATTTAATTTATTTTTATTCCATACATATTTCTATTACAAATTTCTTCTTTCTTTTCCCATTCAGTCTCTACTCTTCTTATTCCTTACAAACCACATATTTATATTGTATAACAACAACCTTACTTCCTTCATCTCCGTCTCCGTCCCCGTCCCCATCCACGTCTCATTGTATTATCTGATTTGATACTGCCTTCTGTGTATTCACGCACACGCAATTCGCTCGGTTATCGCTCAACGTCTGCAAACAAAAAAAGAACATGTATAAAAGATGTATATTATTATAGCTATTGTAAACCTCGTTTGATTCGGAGCGAATGCAAGTAGTAGTTTCGAGTTTGATCATTGCTTTCTTTGTACCTTGAACTGTCTCTGAAGCTCTTTGATGTAGTCGACTGCTAAGTCCAACATGTCGGCCGTGTTCGTTTGCTGTAATAAGATGAACATAAATGAGTTTTGAATGTGGGATTTGTATGCTAGGAAGAGAGATTTTATATATGTGTATACCTTGTCCATGTTCGGTACAAGATCTTGTAGCTTCCTCATACGCTCGCTGATTCGAGTTCGTCGTACCTATTGATGGATTGTGATTTGATATGAATTAGTAATTTGATAGATTTGTAAGTGATGAATATAATGTGATGCTTCTCTCACTCGTTCGGCGATGCTGCGTGGATGAGTAGCGCAGCCTCGTTTCGCTCTAATTCTACAAGGAACAGCGTCTTGGAGCTGCAACAACTTCTCAATGGAAGCTATGTCGGATGTGTTCTTCGGCAAGCTCAAACGGTGCGATAGTAAATGAACTCGGTTCCCGATCTCGCCGTTCTAATCAACACGAAACACGCTTCAATATCATACACAAAAGAGAAAAACACAGCTTATGATCATCTCAGGTAATCGATATAATCCATACCTGATGGCTACTAGAAAACAACTTCCTATTACTATCCGGGTCGTGTTTTACGACAGGAAAAGGCTCGGAAAACTGCGACGATTCGTTCCAGGAAGCGAACGGGAACCCGGTCGGAGTAAAGAACTGAGGCTCTCCATTGGTATTTGTAAGCTTTTCATTCCCAATTACTTGTTCAGAGATGTGAGAAAGCATTCCCAGAGAAGAAGGCAGCAAAGAGGAGAAGCTAAGTTCCCCTCCACCATTGTTATTGCTACCACTCAGCCTATTAAAACTTCCCCCACCATAGCCTACATACAACCAGTTCATCAAGAATCTAATCATAGAGTTCATTTCAACTCAATAATCCAGAGATGAACATCAAATCATTTCAATAAGAACAATATAAAACTATGAATCCATCCATCAATATATATATATCAGATCAGATTAAACATGAAATGGGATGAAATTCACAGGGGAGGTTGACTTATGCCATTAACGGAACTAAAATTTCCCAAAAGTAAAACAGAGAGAGAGACAGAGAGATTCACCATTTTGATTGAGTTGAGAGAAAACTCCAGCAGGAGAGCTACTCTGACGAACAAGATTAGAACCCAAAAAACCAAGAGAGCTACTCATTGAAGAAGAAGAAGAGGAAGAAGAAGATGAAGACGAGGAAGAAGAAGAAGAAGAAGAAGAAGAAGAAGAAGAAGAGGAAGAAGAACAGTTCACGGCGGTGCTCGGGCGGGGATAATGCGGCGGAAGACCAGAACAGTAGTTTCCGAGCGCCGGAGATTCGGAGCCATTACGACTCCCAAATCTAGAAACCATCCGCTCCGATTCAGAGCATTCGAAGGGATTGGAGCGCTTAGAATCAATCCCCTGAGCGTAATCCGCAAGCAGAGAACTGGGCGCAGAGCGAAATCGAAGCAACGCCGAATTGGGTTGCTGAAAACTGTGGTGGGTATTCGAACCCATCAATCAAAAATGAAAACCCTCAAACCCCGAATCACCGAATCCCCCTTTTGAAGAACAGCGGCAAAAATGGAAGTTCAAACCAAAACCCTCTTAATCGTACCTATAGAAAACCAGAGAAATTCGTCTCTCGCTTTCAAGAACCAACGAAATGGGTCATTTCAACAGCTTAATTTGTAAGCAGAATGAAGATAAGATCTTATAGAAGAAGCTAAGGATAATGAAAACCGACCCACAAGAGAAGCAACTAAACAGAAGCCATAAGAAGTGAAAAAAACAGAGCATATGAAAAGAAGGATTATAAGAAGAATTTGCAGAATCAAAGAAGATAAAAGAAATGGGGCAAAAATCAAAGAGAGAGGAAGAAGAAAGCAAATCTATCTTGTTTTGGAACGAGAAAGAGAGAGAAAGAGAAAGAGGGCAAATCGGGGTTTTCCCACTCGCGGCCTTAAGGATTTGCTTTTGCTGCTTTCACAGAAGCGCCATTGATATCCATCCTCTTTGCTTTAATTACATTAAAACGAAGACCGAGACAAAGTTTTCTATTTTGGGGCGACATTTCGCCAATGCTCACACTGCTCTTAGCTTAGCGGAGCCCATTTTCGGTATTATCAAAATTAAATTAATTTTTTTGCTATAAAAAAAAAAAAAAAAAAAAAAA